CCCAAATCCTCCCCTAAAACAGGATACAACGGAAGCTGATCGCAGATTTTGTCCAATATAACGGTAAATATCGGGAAATGGGGTGGCTTTTACACCACGGCCTATCAGGAAACGTTGCTATTAAGAAACCAATTGCCCCGACTGTTTTGGACGTAATTGGTTCCTTTGTTTAACCATTAGGGCAAAGGGCATCGCTAACACTCAGGAAGGCGTAACCTGTTACTTTGGAAGAGGGTTATGTTGGTAAAAAAGCAGGAAATAAAAAAGTACTCACTTGTTGGTTAACCCGAAGAGGAAAAAGGCATTTGGAAGCCTCCATACTGTTTTTCAGGAATAATCCTTAATGTGGTTTGGAAACATGATATGGCGTTTTAATCACGGCAAGCCATTTAGCGCCGCTGAGAATTCTCGTTGGGAAATTTCGGAAGCAGGGGCATTTAGCTCCCTCTTTTTTTCAAAGCTAAGGAACCCGAATCAGCAGGTTTCTCTAATAGGGCTGCAGTCGAATGTGCAGTTTAGCTTAGGAACCTAACAAGAGTGGGAAATGACCAAGAGTACCTCATTGAGCCCTGATTAAAGGAGCCGTTAGAATCCTCGATAGGGAAAGGAGGTTTTGAACTTCCTGTAATTAAACCTCCTTTTAGCTCCACTGGACCTCCCTTTCCGAAAGGAAAGGAGAAAATGCTGTCCCACAATACCTTGCGGCCGCAGCATTTTCCGTCACACAACATTAACGTTCACGGAAACAACCGATTATGACCGAGAAATTATATCATGAACGTTACGGTGCTTATAATAAATACATTTGTATTGATTTTAAGATCTTTTCAAAGTTCATACAATCACACGGTCACAATCCCTAGTTTGAATTCTTATAAATAAAGCATAATATTCATCTTTTAAATGATGGTGTCATTTCCAGTTCAGTCTCACACAGCTGCTAGCATGCCTATTCTTAGTCTTGTTCATAGAGTAAAGCATCAATTATATTGCTCAACATAGCATCAAAAGCTATAGAGACAACGTGTTCTGGTGAATATTAAGTGCAAGCATTGTACTTTTAACTTTTCTAACTTAAATTCTGAGTCAATGCATTACAAATGAAATTGGCAACCGTTTATGAAAGACAGTGCTGCCTTTGAGGCTTCCTTGTTTGCTGCCTTTAATCCACAGCATGTATCTGTGAATCAATGTGGGTGTTGTTATTACAAAGCTAGGAACACCCAGAGGTGATTGGCATGCGTAGATAGGAGGCTAATATTACCAACATTCTCATCCTGTAATGCAGTAGAACGATGCATGCAGCATACATTTCCACAGGTTAAGGACAAATGTGGGTTGAGGCGAACATCGGAGAGCATGTGTTAATTAGAGAGAAGATGAAAGATGATGAGGGAAGCAGGGCAGATCAGTCACTGCAAACAAAGACGAAAAGGGTATAGATAGAGTTGGGAGGCAGAATGAAAAGATTTGTCGCAGTAGAGCCTGTGGATAAGAGATGAAAAGATACAAAGGAACTGAAAAATGGTGCTGAGGAAGATTGTACCATTGCTGCAGAGAGAGTAAAATAACTGATAGAGATAAAGGAAGTGACAGAGAGCCTTGAAATGTCTTCATTTAGAGATTGCCTGCTCTATGAGTCTAGTAAGTTTAATCGGCGTAACTGCAGTGGGCTATTCCTCCCTGGAGATCTATCAACAACCCCCTCATTCTCCGTTTCATTCTGCTTCCCTTCTATTACCCCTGAGTCATTCTTTATCATTCCAACAGTTACAAATCCTTGTGACCTTGTATAAGTCTTTGTCCTTAATATGACCAGCAATAAAGTACACTTAAAGCCCTGAAGAAGCAATCAAGCAGAAAAACAATCTGCGTTATGAGGACATTTAGCAATTTGTTGCAAAGACGCATTCAGTGTTGCCTTCATTTTATCTGGATCAAACAGTTGAGTGAAAGATAAGGTTAGACATTCTCGCCTTATGCATTGTGGGAATTAAGTGCAGCACACAATCAAAGGCTTCATTAAACATTGATGGGGATATGTGCAGGGACTGATGGGCGTAAATGGAACACAGAGTGATGCATGTCCTGCACTGACATGCTTTCAGTGAGAAATGTTCCACACAGGTATGCAGAAGCTCTGGGAAAAAATACACTGTTAGTGTCCTAAATCAGTGTTAGACAGAGGTGGGAAGTAGTGGAGTACAAATACTTTGATACTGTACTTAAGTACATTTTTCTGTACTTATTTTTATGACGACTTTTTACTTTGACTTCTTATACATTTTGAACACAAATACCTGTACTTTCTATTTCTTAGATTTTCCAAACAGGCTGGTTCCTTTAGTTTTAATCTGTGTTTTGGTTGCGTGATCATTATTATTTTAGAGTCATTGCGTGCCTATAGATCATTTCCTGGTCTTCTCTAAAGGAGAGGGGACCAATGAGAACTTTGTAATCTTTGCCGTTCGTTCAGCATCGAAACGATTCATTTGCTAACAATTACAGTTATTGTTCTATTAATATAAAGGAGGTCAGGTTGTACTATTTAAAACAATTGGGTATTATGAGGTACTTTTTTACTTAAGTAATATTTCGAAGCCCATACTTTCTTTACTTTTACTTGAGGAAAAGAACTTTAGTCAGTACTTCTACTTTTATCAGAGCGTATTTTTAAAATGAGTATCTGTACTTCTAACTTTAGTAAAGGATGTGTGCTACTTTTTGGCCATCTCTGGTGTTAGAGATAAGGCCGCTTTTCACACAAGTACTTTGCCGTACTTAGTGCCCAGCACTTAGTACCCAGACTTAGTATTCCCCATGGAACTAAGTACCAGATCGCGTTCACACACGAAATAAATCCCTTAGGGGAAGATTAAGCAAATTTTTTAAGCCGCTGATACGCACACTTCTTCTTCTTCTACTTTGGGTTTAACTGGCAGTGCCGCAAACCACTTCACGGCGTTATACTTGCCACCCGAAGTCCCGGAGTTGGGGACTGCTTCACTAGAAGCTGCTGCGACTCCAGCAGCTTCTACTGAAGCCTTCGGAGTAAATCGCCAGAACGCCGACACCTCCTCATCACTCCACCGCCCTCCAATGTTTTTTTTTTTGTTGCCATAAGTTATTCTCTCTCCTTTGGTTCGCGGTGCTAATACTAATGCTAATAATGCTAATGCCAGGCAAATACAATGGTGGTGTGGGCTTCACCAAAACTTTTCAGACTCTGTACGGGGGCGTGGTTTGCAATTCGCCCAGCCAATCGAAATTGGTACTTTTTCTCCCCAAGGATAGTACCCACCTCCTCTAGAGGCACTACAAAGGGGTGGTTAAAAGTTTCTCGGAAACTAAGTTCTCTTTTTGGTGCGCAAAATTCCAGGCACTATCGGAACTAAACGGGAAAAGTACAGGTAAAAGTACTCCGGTGTGAAAGCGCCTATAGTCACTTTACCAGAGACATTTTGTGACAGCTGGACACAGGGATGGAACAAGGTTATTGGGATGACTTAATACCCCCAAAAAGTATATTAAAGCACAGCAAATGGCACCAGGCCAAGCAATAGCGAATTGCTCTCAGCTGTTATAAAGAGAAGTAGACAGTGAATCCCAGGGGGAGCGCCAATCCCCCCCGATAACCTCCGATGATCCGCTGAGCGAGAGGCTACGGGATACCTGTTGTAGATTGCAGAGAAATGGTAATTAAAATAAAGTTGATGACTATATGCTGGTTGTATCTTAGGCGGAAGTTACTGGACTATCGCAAGGATAAAACATTTTCAGATGTTAGTTACATCCTTCCCCATCCAAACTGGGCGATTTCCGACGTCCCACAAAAATTTTGTGCGAGTGTCCTGTCCTCTGTTGTGTTTTTTAGACAGAATAAAGAAGGAAAACAAGCCACTATGATTCGGAGAGAATGCAGGAACTAATGATCAGCACGATTTTCTCAATTGTGATATCCCAGCATGCTCAGATTTACCTGGTGATTTCAAGCCGTAACATCCTACGTGGTTGACAAACACATTTCAGTGATTTAATGTTGATGGTGTTTTTGAAGAAAAAAAAAAGATGAAACATTTTTATATAATTATCGTTCTGACAAAATATCCCCGGTTTCCATACATGTGATTGGCACCCATTGGATAGCCGATTTAGTTTGAAAACCTTGATTATGTAGAATACTATAATGATTTTAAGATAAAAGTGCGCCNGAGTGAGACATGTGGCGCGCAAAAGTAAAAGTGGAACCGAGAGTGGTACGAGAGACAGAACGAGAGCAAGACAGACAGACATTACGAGAGCGAGACAGTTTGTCCCCGTACCACTGGTTGAAAACCACTGCTGTAGATCACTGCCGGTACGTGCGCTGGGAGCGCACCGTTTAAGTTTGAAAGTTGAAAAGTTTGTGTGTCTGAAACGCTATGTGATACAGTACAGTTTACACAGCACATCATGTTCTGTAGCTACTATTGCACTAAATGCTAACACTTGAATACGTTATGCAAATATGCAACTTGTTTGTTGAAATGTTAATAAATGGGAGCTTCCTCAAACAGCCATCTCTTTCCCGACAATCCCCTCTGTGCACGAACCCTTACATATGGTAATGAAACATTAAAACACCTGCGGCTTATAGTCCAGTGCGGCTTATATATGTACACATCATTCAATTTAGCTGCTGCGGCTTATATTCAGGTGCGCCTTATAGTCCGAAAATTAAGGTAAACACATTTTTACAGGTCAGTAATTATGATACACTAATGAGGTACATTTAGTAGAAATACCGTATTTATAGTTTAGTTCAAATATAGACATGAGGAATGTGTGTTATTGGAAATGAGTTGGTGGGGGGAGGGAAGCAAGTAGATGTTCTATAAATCAATAGTACTTTTTTAAATTGAATTTAATCTGTTATACTTTGTGGGAAGGATACACTTTCGTTAGAGGCGTTGATAAAAGGTTGAATTTCTCATCACGTTGTTCTTAAATGTTAACATTGTCATGACTCTAATCTGTTCTCTCTCTCTCCAGGTGATCTCGGTCATGTGACCCGAGTGAACAACCCTCAGGTGGAGGAAGGGGACAGCAGGTACCTCGCCAACGAAGTCTTACAAGAGGTTTGTCATCTTCAAAAGCTGCCTTTTATCTTTTCATCAAGTCAATCTTTTCAGTGTCGATAACTCTCCTCTTCTTTATCGTTTGCAGGACTACAGTAAGTTGACGAAAGCGGACATCTTTGCTCTGGCTCTGACCGTCGTCAGCGCGTCGGGAGCCGAGCCGCTTCCCACCAACGGAGACAAATGGCACGAGATCCGACAGGGAAAACTCCCCAACATCCCACAAGTACTTTCTCCAGACTTCCTCAGTCTGCTAAAGGTAAGAGTTCATCTTGTGTTTCTATGCTTTGTTTCGCCTCCACTCTGTGTCTGCATGTTGATAAGGTAGGTAGGTAGGTAGGTAGGTAGGTAGGTAGGTAGGTAGGTAGGTAGGTAGGTAGGTAGACATAGGTAGGTAGGTAGGTAGGTAGGTAGGTAGGTAGGTAGGTAGGTAGGTAGATAGGTAGGTAGGTAGACATAGGTAGACATAGGTAGACATAGGTAGACATAGGTAGGTAGGTAGACATAGGTAGGTAGGTAGACATAGGTAGGTAGGTAGACATAGGTAGGTAGGTAGACATAGGTAGGCTAGATAGATAGATAAGTACTTTTATTGATCCCAATTTGGGAAATGTTTGCGTTGCAGCAGCATAAAAAAGGCAATGTACATAAGAGAAACTAAGACACAGAAATAAACAGTCAATATATTTCAGAATTAAAATAGCATTTATAGAATGTGTTTTTAAAGTTGATAATCATGTTAGTTTATTTGTGTGTCGTGGACAGTCCCCATTAATGAACTGTCACAAATAAACAGTAAATGTGGCAGCTTTAGCCAACATTGCTCATTTCAAGCTGTTGTCCCCGGCCTGATGATAATAGACACCTTTTAACATTTTAAATGAAACACCTTAATATCACCTTTTTACTTCCACTTCCTAATCTCATATGTTCTCTTGTCCTGCAGCTGATGATCCACCCCGACACGAGCAGACGGCCCTCCACCTCGGAGCTCATCAAACACCCGGTGCTGCTCACCGCCGCCAGGATGAGCGCCGACCAGCTGAGAGTCGAGCTCAACGCCGAGAAGTTCAAGAACGCTCTGCTGCAGAAGTGAGTCCGAGCGGCAAAGGAAACACTTTGAAGAGATACACATTTATGATGGATGGAAAAACTTTAAATAAATTGAAGACTGAATTTCATTGCGGTTTTTCACAGGTTTTTCTTTCATGATAAATTGAGTGATATTTGTGGTCCTAGTTAAGTCAAAGAAACTCCTCGTGTCCTCATCACTAACTGAACATCTCTCTCCTCCTCAGAGAGCTGAAGAAGGCTCAGCAGGCGCGAGCTGCAGCGGAGGAAAAAGTGTTATCGGGCGACCGGATCCTGACGCGCTCCACGGTGCACCCGGCGCCCCGAACCTCCAGACTCATCGGAAAGAAAATGAACCGCTCCGTCAGCCTCACCATCTACTGAGCAGGGAGTCAGGCACAAAGGCTCATGGACCTTTTTTCAAAAATCAGAAATAATTCAGATGCAGCGCCAACGTAGCTCACTTGTTCCCGGGTTGGAATCCAGCCCACGGACCGTCTCGTCTGTCTTCTGCAGAAACATATCAACTTTAGGGAGGAAGGAAGGAAGGACCCTGTTTGAGTGGATCTGTCTCTCTTTAGTTTCCTTTCCATGGAGACCTGTCAGCTGTAGAACTTGATGAACTCTCAACATAGCTCAGCCTTTGTTTCCCAATAGACTTAGGAGAAAGGAAACATTATCCCTTAAAGGAAATTACTTTACCTTTTCCACACTCTCCACCCTCTGCTGAGACTAAGTGAAAGCCTCATGGACCTCTTAATCAGATATTGAGATGCAGCTGGGTCTGAATTTGACCCGCTGTCTTACGGCAGAAACTCAAGGTAGCCACTTCACCTTTTCCCCACTCATTCCTTCCTCTAATCGACGTCAGGCTCTCTCTCCGTTTCTCTTTCCTTGCACATCCCTCGAACAAGCCGAAGCGCCCGCTCTTCAGTGTGAATGTACTTGTTTCCGTGCGCACCTTACTGCCTGTAGAACGCCTGATGCTGAGGGTCTGAGGATTTCTGTGTTTGTAATGGAACACTTTGGAGGCAACATCTGGAACACTTGCCACACTTTCTTTGTTTAAAAAGAATAAAAAATACTGCTGCTATTGATGTTTTGTGTGTGTCAGGGTTGGATCGTTATAGAGGTCATTGGCTCTTAGTTTTGAAGTAGCAGGAGTCCGTTTCGCCCCCAATTGATTGTAATCGGATGGAGAATGGATCATGCCACATGAGCTCACTTGTGATGTTAAAGTGTTTATGTGCCGTTTATTGGTGCTTCCGCCCTGCCCGTAGCATTAGAACAATCATCGTCCTGTTCTCTACGTTCTCATTGGTTCTGTTTTTACTTTCCTCACTGCTCGTCTTTAATTACTGTTAAGAAAAGTATTCCACATTGTTCTAACACAAAACAATGTTTCTGTTGTTGTAACATTGTACATATGTTCTCTAAATAAATTCTCACCTTCTTCACTTTGTGTTGTGTGTTGAAGGGTCTTTACTTCTGTAATATGTAAAGGTGTGTTTTTTGAGCTGCGATGCAATTCATTAGAGGCTTTACATTGAAAATCAAACTATAGGTAAGTCTTAAAAGGTCATAGATAAGTTATTGGAATTACTCATGGTATATCATGTCTAAAAATAGTCTTGGTATGTCAAGCAATCAAAGTATGTTTAAAAAAAGATAAATAACAGGATGTCAAAAATATAGTGTGTATAAATATGTATAGAGTAAAGTACATGGAAAAGATCTGAAGAAATAACGTTAATGTTTTAAAAAAGTGATCGTATACTGTGTCAAGTCTGTTTATATATGAACATAATCCTAATGGTATAGTATGCTTTGAAAATAATGTGGTTTAGTATGTTGAGAAAAATAAAGTCGGAAAACACAGTGTGGTGGAAAAGTTGTAGAACAGTATGTCGAATAATTCTGAAAAAATAATGTGTAAAAACTCAAAGTAAAGTATGTCAAATATTAGACATGTCAAATATTAGAAAAGTCCTATTATGTTTAAAATATTCTGAAAAAGTAAAGTATGTCAAATGTTTGATTAAAAAGTTATAGTATGCTGAAAAATACAATTCATAGTCGAGTATGTTTTAAAAAGGTCGTAGTATACAGTTATGGGTCAAACATATAAAGAAAACAACATAGTATCGTTTAAATAAAAGTCACCATACACCATGATGGAAAAATATTCAAAAATATTGAAACAGTCAAATTATGCAACAAACACATGACATAAAGACAGTTACTAAAAATGTCATAGTATTCAGGCTTTATTTTAAAAAACAATCTCTTAAGTAATTAAAATGAGTTAAAGTTCCTCGAGTCAAATGTAAACATGACTTGTCAGGTAGCATTCACACTACACCACAATAGACAACGTGAGATAAAAAAACATTAAAACAACGATTTTGAATACATCCGCGTTCTTGTGACGCGTGAATACTACGCTTCCTATGCTTTGGTGCGGACTGCGTTCACACCATAGTCTGTATTATATAAAGGTTCACACCAGCGATGAACCGCTCCAGAGTTCACTTGCAAGCGGTCGGACTGCGTTCACATAAACCCAAACGANAAAAAAAAACATTGGAGCGGTGGAGTGATGAGGAGGTGTCGGCGTTCTGGCGATTTACCCGGAAGGCTTCAGTAGAAGCTGCTGGGAGTCCCAGCAGCTTCTAGTGAAGCCAGTCCCCAACTCCGGGGACTTCGGGTGGCAGTATACGCCGTGAAGTGGTTTGCGGCCTGCCAGTAAACCCAAAGTAGAAGAAGAAGAAGTGTCGTCAGCGGCTTAATTTGCTTAATCTTCCCCTAAGGGAATTTATTTCGGTGTGAACGCGATCTGTACTTAGTTCCATGGGGATACTAAGTGCTGGGTACTAAGTGCTGGGCACTAAGTACGGCAAAGTACTTGGTGTGAAAGCGGCTTATCTCTAACACCAGAGATGGCAAAAGTACACACATCCTTTACTAAAGTAGAAGTACTGACTAAACTTCTTTACTCAAGTAAAAGTAAAGAAGTATGGGCTTTGAAATGTACACAAGTAAAAAGTACCCATATAACAGCTGGTAGTTATGGGTACTTTTTACTTGTGTACATTTCAAAGCCCATACTTCTTTACTTTTACTTGAGTAAAGAAGTTTAGTCAGTACTTCTACTTTTATCAGAGTATTTTTAAACATGAGTATCAGTACTTCTACTTGAGTAAAGGACGTGTGTACTTTTGCCATCTCTGGTGTTAATGAAACTCAGATAGTTATGATGGTATTAATGAAACAGATATGATGGTGTTTGTTGTTCCCTCGCTGCGCGGTGCTGCAGCTCTTCTCTGAATCTCAGACAGACAGCGTCATGTGACTTTTCCTCATCCAGTCCAGCTGAAATTCATAGAGGAAGCGAGCAGAGTTTCACACACAGCCACAGAGAAAGAGAGAAGGAGCAGAAGAGGAGATTATTTTACCTTTCCTTCAGCATGGCGCTACGGGACGAGCTGCTCAGGTCCATCTGGCACGCGTTCACAGCTCTGGATGTGGACAAAAGCGGGAAAGTGTCCAAATCTCAGCTGAAGGTAACTCTACTTTTACTTTGCGCATCTTTATGGGGCAGTGTGATGGAGTTTGGCCGAGCAGGAAACTCTCCCAATGTTAAGAACAAACTGTAGCCTACGTGAAACACTTTAAGTTGCTTTTATGCGAGCGTTTCCTCCTCGTGGAAAACACAGCTGCGCGTGCACCGAGACGCACCTGTCCTCACTGATGGAACCTGCCACTTCAGAGAAAACACAAAAAAGCACATATCAGTGTTATTAAAATACTTCATGGTTAGATTAGGAGTTTCACAACATAGCGCTTCTGTTTTTGACCATAACACTACAAACATGGAGTCCTAAAGTTACTTTTATATGAGGTCTGGTCAAGTTGTTAATAATAACATGATAAGATAAGACAAGTAGGACTGGCTTATCTAAAGCCAGTTGAGTAGCGCTTGAAATGTTTTAGCTCTATGAAACCTGATGTACTGATATGATTCTGTTTTCCTCAAGTTTGTATCTTCTTGGTCGAATGCACTTATTGTAAGTCGCTTTGGATAAAAGCCTCAGCTAAATGCAATATAATGTAAAGTAGTCAACATATTTTTCATATACTTTGATTGAGAAAAAAGTACCGATACTACACTGTAAAAATAATTTGAAAAGGTTTCAACGTAGGCAAGTATAATAATGGAAAGTGTTAGAAGTAAGTTCTACTAACAGAAAATGGCTCCTATTTGTACACCATGATACTGTAACTGTGTATTATATCATTAGCTCATTTTGTTTTACAGGTTGTTGAGGTGGAGACTTGTTATAATTATATTTTTATCAAAGATTAGCTTGATGATTTTCTATATGTTGTCCATCAGAGTTAAATGGGTAAGTGTCAGAGGATAAATCCTAACCAAACAAGTTAATTATCCTGTGTGTAACCATGAACTTGTTTACAACTGAATGACACACCCACATATTTCAGTGGCAGCCACACATTGTTCAGAAGTCTCCAAAATAAACTGTCAAACTTGTAGCCTCTGAATCTAAAAAGGAAAAGGTACATTTGTAGTTTACTATGTTACCCCAGCACTGGATTACTTTTCACATAAAACTAGATCGTGTTGAAAGAGGAGAAACTTTTCTCTGACTGTAATATCTGTATTACTCATCTGAGTGTTGATGAAAGTCTTGGAAATACAGGAAAGCACGAAATGTGTTGACTGGAAGATGAGGTTGAGAAAGTTTTTCCTTACCTGAGTTTGACCTCACAGAATGAAACGTACCGACACGTCTGAGTGTTGGTTTGTGGTATTTCTTATATAAAAGCGGGATAAATGCTTTTGTTTTAGGATGTGCTGTATCTTGATTATTGCTCAATAAGACAAGCTTTCTGTTAAAAGTCAGAACATATATTATACCACTTTTCTTCACCAGATGCATGGTGCTCTTAGTGGCCTTTAAATTGCCTCTTGAAGTCATCTGTGTTGTGTGTATCCTTTAGAGACAGAACATTATTCAGTGTTTGTTTATTAAGTCGCCAAAAAATGTGGTTCCAGCTTCTCAAATACTACCATTTCAATCAGGAGAGACTTCATTTTGTACGAGAACATTTATTGACACATGTCACATGATAAATGTTAAGTCTTTGGCGATTAGACCCCGATCCTGAAATCGTATATCTAAAGGGGGAAATGCAGCCTTGAGCATATGAGAACCCCCCGGGGTCTAGACACTGGTGATGATGCTGAAGATCTGGATTTGATGAGGAGATGGGATGAAGGGGAGGTGTGATGAGGTCTTTGGATAACTCTCCTGGCACTGGATATGATGAAAGGAGGTGGATGGGGAGGAGGCGGGCGGCCGCATGACGACCTGAAATCACAGCTGACTGCAGGAGAGAGGAGAACCATTTTAAAGTTTGGCTGCAGCACGGTGATTGGCTGCTGGAGAATGAGGTGACATGTGATAGGTTAAAGAGATCGCCCGTGATGAGCTGATTATAAGCAGCTGCGGCCTGAAGTATACCAGTCTTCCTGAAAAAATGTACGCTAAGATTCATTTCTTTTTGTGTGTTTCATGATGAACTGAATACT